GGCCGAGAATTCACATTTGATCATTTGGGACAAGACCCTAGAATGGGGACACAGTCTGACTTTTTTGTGCAGTGCATTTTGCAGTTACTCATCACACACTAATTACACAATCCCATGAGAAGGACTGCGTGTTTTAATGGACTGTCTTACTTCATCGTCTTCACACACAAGAAGTGCTTTGAGTGCATGCACGGCTGCAGACATCACTCCCTCCACACTGTCGTCCAGCGCAAAGCGCAGCAGGAAGACCAGGCCTGCGTCCAGCACCGTGGACACCACGCTGCCCTTCAGAGCTGACCGGTACTCCCCAGCTCGGGCCTACGGGGTAAACAAATCCACCGCTAAAGTGACTACATAATAAAGACATGTGCTTCTGCACAGCAACACTGCCTGGGTTTGTTTATGTACCTTTGAGAGGATGTTGGCCAGAGTGCAGAGGGCCAGACTCCTCTGCCTGATGAGCTGACTCCGAGACAGCAGGAATAGCTCCTGCAGGGAGTAACCTGCCCGCTGCGGAGAAATCCTCAACGTTAGGAGCAAAATCATCTCAACGCAAAATATCTGGAGCCTTGTCTGTAATGCTAATTTAGATATTAACCTGGTTTTCAGTCTCACAATGAGACTTTTTTAACGGTGTCATAAAAAAAGTTTGCAAATTGCTTCCATGTTTAATTTTACGAGCATGCTCTCTGAACAAAATGCCATCAACAGTTGGTGTTGCAAACAAAAAGCGTAGTATAAATAAAATTAAACTTGTCCACTGACCTCAGGCTCCTCCCCATGATGATGCAGGCCTAGATGGGTGGGCAGATCCTCAGTGGGAGGAATCAAAGTCCCCGCAAAGTCAAACCGAGCCTGCATGGCCTATTAGTGTACACAACCACAACATTTTTTTCACCAACTACAAAACTCAATATAAAGTTAGGCTTGAAGTGGAGAATTTAGAAAAAAAAGTGTCATCTGCTGGTGTCGTAAGAAATATTGCATTACCTTGTTGGTTCCTTTCTTTCTGGGAGCAGGCAAGTCTCTCATCCACTCCAGCTTCTCTGGCTCCAGCTTATCCATGTGGACCCATTCCTTCTGAGGCTTCAGCAGCACCTCCTTTTCTAAATTCCCACATAAAAATATTTTTAAAATACACTCTTAACTACGTGTGCTTTTGTGTAATAGTTGGTATGACTGTTGTAGAAAGTACAGATAAAGTGATAACTGCAACACACGTGTAAACACAAACTACTCCTGCTAACTAATCCTTCCCACAGCTGGGATTAAAGATACGTTGTCAGGAGCTTAAGCAATGTCTGGTTATCTATTCCCAAACCAAAAACAAAGGCCATAAATCATAAAAGAAAAGAAAAAAAGACAGAAATCGCCTTGACATACGTCTTGTGGTCCTTGAGGACCAAAATAACGACTCTTTCTAAATAAATAAATGCGAATTCGATGGGTGCTGCTGTGCATGTTGCCTTCTACTCATCTAATACATCATCTTTGGCTGCAGTGACAGAGCGACACATTTTGGAAAATTCATGGTACACATGATGTGCAAGATCTGTCTTCATACGATCACTCGGCAACACTTTCATCAGGACTGGGAGTATTGTTTGAATGATCTGCAGTAACTTCATTGCAGAGAGTGGCTACTTCTGGCTCAGCCCGGCCGTTCTGCTGATTAATCAAAGGGAAGTCAACGATCAGCATTATGTCGGGATTTTAGCCTCGCAGCAGAAGCATCGCACATTAACTATATAATCAAGAGAATGGATCCCTGAGAGAAAGGGAAGTTGGCAGAGTGAAGAAAAGGGAAGTGCGTGAGAAACCGCAGGAGGGAGATGAAGGACGGAGTGCAGTGAAGAGACATGCGCGATGGTTTTCAGTGGACAACAAGGGGGGTTAATTATAATCTTCAAGTACATAAAGTCTAAGGAGGCAAGACGTAGTGTGAGATAACAGCATTGTCATCCCTATCAATTTGTTGCTATTGCATTTTTTTAATAACTCTAGCAGCAGTAGACTCACAAGGTCGACCTGAAAAAAAAAGGATTTTAAATCCATCCTACCCGTCACAGCAGGTGGTGGCAGAACCTTCTCCTCCTCCATCTCTACTTCTCGGGGGTTTTCAAGCAGCAAAGCAGCACCGGAGGAGACTGACTGTCTGTTCCCATTTTCGAGAGGGAAATTGTCCTTGCTGTTTTCGCCCTGGGGTTGTTTGGATGAGGAGGCAGAGGACAGGACACTCTGGGCTTTGCGAGATCTAACAAAGTCCACTAGTTTGGGATCTGGGAAGCAGAAATAATCGTCTCATACGTAGTGGTACCAACAAGATGTACTTTACTAGTTATAATACAAGCTCACGACTTCATATCAGTATATATGAAATATGACATAACTGCCTACCGAGCTGAGACAAGAGCTTCTTCTGCTCCAGGAGTATCTCGGACTGAGACATGTCCCGGACCTTAGCCTGGTTCTCCCTGTGGATCCGCATGCTTTCCGAAGAGCTATCTGGGCCCCCGAGGCCCCGACCGGACAGCAGACTGGGACCCGTGAAATGCAGTTGGTTCTTGCTGCACCAACACTGATCCGTCTCCATGCAGGGTCAAGGCGGCCCGGTTCTGCTCTCTGCGTTCAGGTGTGTGAGCAGCTGCTGGTGCGCAGTGTAAAGGTGTCCTTCCCTCCTTCAGCCTCTGAGCTGCTAACTCACGAGCAAAGAGGCTCTTCTTTCCAGCAGCGGACGACAGCGGCACCTGGTCGCAAGGATGAATGAACTTTTAAAAAATCAAGTTGAATGATATTCATTGTGACAGTACAATGAGAGTATGGACACAGAGCTTGAACAGTAGATCTTCTTAAGTTTAAAGATTTTTTTAAGTAATATGAGATTCCGCACATGAAGGGAAGCTATTTGTTGTCTCCAGTCTGTTGCCATTCTTTTAGATAAAACATTTTGTTAAGAATGAAGTGCCAGCGTTTTCTTACCTGACTGCTGGTTTCTGAACGGTGCATTACTTTAGGGAAAGCCATGCCTGTATGTGCTGGTAGAGATATTGGAGTAGAACTGGTATCTCTTTCCTTAAACAATGACAGATGTTACGGATCCATTAATGAAATAAGAAATGAAAACATTGATACCATTAAATAGAACTTAAAAGCTTAAAACACACTAGATACGTGTACTTGCAGAGACCGTGCACTCACAGACTAGGATGCATAGTGTTTGCAGTATTTGCACAAAACAACAGGTACTTACAACTATTCTTGAGAGAATAGCGCTGACGTGAACGTCATGCCGGTCGAGCCTCTCGCCAGCATCCTCATCCTCGAAGGTAACACGACCGGCTTTGAACCGAGACTTCTTAGGAGGGGCTGGCGTCAGTGACGGGAGTTGGTCCGGAAGATCTGGAGAAAACATAAAAGATATTTAATAATCTTACACACCAACCTGTAGGGTCCATTGTTAGACATCTGCGTAACCCACAAAATGAAAGCTGTCGGGGAGTTTTTATTCTCAATGACGCATCGCTCACCTTCTATGGTGACGACATCCCTCTGCCGCCCTTCACTGTGCACGTTATCTGGCCCTCCTTCTCCGGCCCGGCCTCTCCTCTTGTCGGGCCTGCGGACCACATTGGCAGCGGAAGGCGCCCCAGAGGTCAGAAACTTCTCCTGCTCTCTTAGGAGGTCCGCCTCAGAGTCGGACGGCTTTGGACGTCGCAACATCCCTCTGAAAGACACACACGATGGTGTTAATGCCACTGTAGATTCTGATCTAACGGTACAGATCCATTCACGGCCTCAACTCTACCTGATGGAGATACTTTGGACAGAGGACTGTTTAAGTGAACGGTTCCGAGGATTCAAGGAACCCAAAGCTTCCTTTTTTAAACTCTGAACTCTGGCCTGAAGGATATGAGGTCATCGTAATTCAAGACCAACGTTACATATTTGCAATTCAACATAAACGTTGACTCTCGAGTCACGTTAATTGACGTCAGATGCTGAACTAAAGGCAGACTAGTGCTATATGGGAGTGTAAAACAGGACCGAAAGAAACACACGTTAACTACTAAACCAAATAAATAACCACCCGCGTCACTTTGAATTTACATTCGATTCGCGCTGAAATAAACGTTAACTCACAGTTAGCTATCATTAGCTTGACGTTAGCTAGAAACGTCAAACCGTACTTGGCAAAAGCTAAAACTATCCAACACAAGCCCAAATTATGTCATAACTATACGGCAGTCTTTGTTGTTTTAAAATATGTGAAGACTGTGGTTGCTAACCTTAAGTGAGCGCTTAAGTGTTGGGTCCGTATTGACGGCGTGATGCACACCTCTCTGTAGACCAGACGGAAGGTTTATAATGTAACACCAGAAAACCTTCAAAACAAAAGCTCGGCAGAGCATCCAGAAAGGAAAGCGCAGCGACTTGTTTTTTTTCATCTACATCCTCCTTATTCTGTCAATTCAATGTCCGATATTTAGAGGCGTGGACGACGCAGGCAATGTATACGACTTGCTAGCAAATGTTTTAATGCATCCTCGCCGATTTATCCCGTGTAACACGAAGGGTTTTCCCAGAATACCTCGGACATATCTCGCGTTATCCTCCTCCCTTCTCCCGGACACTACACGGCGTACCGACATCTGGATCATCTGGATCAATATTGCGTAGTGACGTTTTTTGTTTTTGTTTTTGGAAAGGTTTCATGAACGCTAGATCATTTAAACTGGCCGTTGACAACAGAGCCTCGCTCACTGCATAATGGTCAACCTCTGCTGCCTTTGCTGCGGTGAAATCCCTCACCCCCGCCCCCCTCCGTCCGGACGGCAGGCGGGAGCACCGCGGGATCCCCGCTCCGTGCAGCAGCAGCAACCCGCTGGCTCCGGCCCAGACGGTGTGGGGCTGAAGGGGACGCAAAAGGGGGGAGCGACCCGCGGGGAACGCAGCAAGTGCAGTAAGAAGGAGTGAGTTTTTTTTTTTTTTTAATTTCTCTCTCTCTGACATGCGAAAAGTGCAGCATGCTCTCCTCCGATCCGGACTCTGCGGAGGACGCGCCGGCCAGCGGTCCCGATGATGCTGAGGGAGAGGAGGTGGAGGAGGAGGAGGAGGAAGACCCACCATCTGAGAGTGAGGTCCCGCAGGAGGTTGGTGTAGTCATTGTTTGCAGACAAAAACCTTTAGAAACAACTGATCAGCTTGCTCCAAGAAAAGTATAAGAAATGCAAGCAATCACAAACCAAAACATTTGTTGCTTTGTTTTGCAATACAAATAAGTGTATAATAACACATTTGTGCCCACTGGGAGCAAATGCTTTCACCTGCAGCCAGAGTATCTTCTGCCTGATGAAATGTCAGACTTGATGTGGAATGTTATCTTAATTCGGAGACAGAGAGGAAGACACCTTGAAGCCTTGATGCATAACGTACATGCTTCGATTCTGTCTACTTGCAAGTATTATTAATAAATGTCCTATTTACTGATTTTACGCCGGTGTCAAGTAAGATTTCTGCCAGCAACAAGAAAACAATCATTTGAGCAAAGCCAGATTTAAAGTTTTGATCAAATGTAAAGGTCTGTGTTTGCTCCACTGTGTCCTCCTCCGCCTTTACTGTCATGGAATAATTACTGTGATTCCATCTGGGGATTGGCTGTGTGCAGCCAGCCGTGCACGGATAGTAAGAGAGCACGAGTTGTGTTACCTCAGACCCTATTGTGTACTGCCAACTAGTGCAGAGTGCAATTTAGACAAGCAAGTCCTGCTTCGTTTACAAGCATTCTACTTATCTTAGTTTTTTTTAGCGATAACATCGTGTTCTTTATTGGTATAACCTTAAAATCACTAGGTTTTATACTAAAAATTTCAATTGAAAGTGCGATTCCTGTGCATCTAAACCATGGTGTGTAATGTCAGTCGCCCTGAGGCCTGGACTGAATGCTTTCTTCTGCACAAGAATTGCATTTCTGTTTGCGCCATAAATAACTGAGGTGGAACCCGCAATGTGACAACTCCACCCCTGTGACAGAGAAGTAATAAATGGGCTGTATGTCAGCATCTGTAGGAAATCTACAAGAACACAGGATGTGTTTTAATACTAAACAAAAATATTAGAAAGCCGTCTAGAGATTATGATTGAACTGTGACTAACGACACGGGAACAAATTCATTTTGATTGTGTAAAACTCCCAAACTAAGACATGCATGTTAAATGTGTCAGTCCTGGTTTGCTCTCTTTCTGCACAAAGGGTTACACTCAAGCCTCTTTTATGTTACTGATGAAATAGCTTCCGGCTATTGTGTCTTTGCTGAATGTGCGCACTTTCTGTTACTGTTTCTCTGCCCAGAGCTAAACCCCCCGATACTACATGTAGATTAGAGGTGTGTGTGTGTCTGTACTTGTGGTGGAAGAAGTACTCAGATCTGATCTCTTGATTAATCAAAAGTCAGGGTCTGCCACATTGTCACCTTCTTCTTCATCATTATCATCACTGAAGGCGGGGTGGGGTGGCACAACCTCTGCTTCAATTAAACAAAACAACTGTAAAGTTTTAAAAAATGAAAAAAAATAAAGCGTGGGAAAGACGCAATAAGTACAGTTTACTCGCACAGTAATAATTAATATCAACAAAAAAAAGTATGCTTAGAAAGTAACAAGAAATTATACCAATATATATATATGTCAGCTGTTTTTACTCATGGCCTAGCAGAGACACTGGGTGGCTGAATTGATCCTTCGGTTTGATTTACTTTGTGCTTAGGTTGGTAAAGCTTGACAGTCCATATTGAAGCCATGCTTTATTTGCATTTCTACTGCATGTCACTGGCAGGTTGCCGAGCCTCATTGCTTTAAGTACCTTTTTCTCATTACCCTCTCTCCCTCTCTCTCCCCCCCTCTCTCTCTCTCTCTCTCTCTCTGCAGCAGCGTCCAGTATCGCAGTCCCTGGGCGCTTGCATCTGCAGGGAGTCCCATTGGCGCTGTCTGCTGCTCTCTCTGCTCATGTACAGCTGCCTGGGCGCGGTGGCCTGGTGTCGGCTCGCCCGGGTCACCAAAATCAGCTTCGACCCCGCCCTTACCTCCTCCTTCACAGCCTCCTTCCCCACCTCCGTGAGGGGGGCGGGCGGGATGGGCGTCGGAGGCCACTCGATGATCTACCACGACAGCCCCTGCTCTGACGGCTACATCTACATCCCTCTGGCCTTCCTGCTTGTACTCTACGTCCTCTACATGGTGGAGTGCTGGCACTGCAGAGCCAGGACCGAGCTGCAGAGCAAGGCGGACGTGGACAGTGTGTATGAGCGCGTGCTGCGGATGAGACGGGCCCAACCGTGCATATGGTGGAAGGCCATCAGCTACCACTTTGTGCGACGGACTCGGCAAGTCACTCGATACCGTAACGGGGACGCGTACACCACCACGCAGGTGTACCACGAGAGAGTGAACACCCACGTGGCCGAGGGGGAGTTCGACTACAGCCACTGCGGGGTGAAGGACGTGTCGCGTGACCTCAGGGGCTTGGAGGGGCACCCGGCGACGCGCCTCCGCTTCGCGAAATGTTTCAGCTTCACAGAGGCCGGTCCAGAGAATGATTACCTCAACCAGAGAGCCCGCTTCTTCTCTGAAATCGAGGGTTTGGACGATTACATGGAGGCCAGGGAGGGGATGCAGCTGAGGAACGTGGACTTTCGAGAAAACCTAATAGTCTACGTAGACCCGGATAGGATGCCTTGGTACACATCCCAGGTTGCCTTCTGGCTGGCGGCTCTGCTGATGTTGTCGTGGCCCCTGAGAGTGCTGATGGAGTACTACACCGCTTATGTGCACTACCGCATAGAGAAACTATTTGGGTTGGAGTACAGCCCCTCTCCTCCAGATGAAGACGGGCCCCCGGGGGAATAATACTAGCTGCCTTATTCCGAGAGTAGACACACTGGACAGCACTGAGATGGAGTGGCACATACGCTGCAACCGGCAGGTGATTCCCAGCTACTCAGAGGCCGTGCTGATAAACATGAGCGCGGCGGACTCCAGCTCGTTGCAAGACACTGAATGCACCTCGTCCTCAAACTGCTTCCTTCTGGACGGCGGTCCGACCGCTCAGAGTTACGGCGCTCTGCAAAGCCAGGGAGACCGCGAGCAATGCGGACCAGGTGACGGAGCGGGCAGGAGGAGGACCATCACCAGCTCAAGCTGCTCCTCCATCTTCTCCCGCCGGCACCTCTCCTCGGACACGTCTCGATTCTCTCTCTGCCGCATGCACGGGTCCCACCGCACGGTGTCTCTGTGGAGGAGCCACAGCAGCAGCCTGACGGACCCCTGCTGCGGCGACGAGCAGCGCTGGCGGTCCGACTCCAGCCGGCTGGCGCTCAGCGACAGTCCACCGACTTACAGGGACGCCCGCTTCTTCCCGGTTCTCATCGTGCACCGCTCCGAGGGCCGCGGCGGCGAGGACGAGAGGGAGGTTAGGCGGTATTACGTACGCAGAGGGTCGTCCTGTGTGGAGACGGATCTGTGAAGGACACAGAGACACTTATTTATAAGATTAATTTGAGATTAAATCAGTAGTGATGGATGGTGTTGGTCACTGTTTGCTCCATAGACAGAAATCAATAATAATGGTGTGTGGTAGCATATGGTAGCATATGGTAAAGTAATAGTCTTCTATTTTTTAACACAGGGACCAAAAGGTCAGAGAGTCCTCGTATTGAATTGCAGATGTCTATATTATTACAGTTAAATTGTCTTTAGTGTCTGTCTGTCAGCTGCAGCGTATAATGATGATAATCATTTTATTATCTTTATGACTTGAGAGCTGCACGACATTAGCACCGTACTGTTTTCCTCACTCACACTTCTCAAAAATCACAGGATGCCAAACTTCACCGGTTCGTATGTGTTATTATACGTGTGAGGACTTAAAGGAGAGAATGATACACGTGTAAGAGAAAAAGATGCATGAGTTTTTTTGTATTGTTTTGTTTGTTTCCGCACCACAAAGCTTATTGGGATCTGATGAATAACTACATTAACTGAATGTCAAAATGTAAGCAATAAAAGTTCTGATAAATCATCTCTGTGTGACAGTATTGTGACTTGTACCATGTCAGTTTGACGAGAATAACATGATGTTTTATACACTCAAATTAGTTAATTAATTCATACATTGGATCATATCACTGTAGCATTTCTATATTTTAATTTAAGGTCAGTTGAGTGTGATGATGAATTATAATAAAATAAAAATAGGTTTCTCCTGTGTGTTGATCTGAGGTGACACAATTTAGGTTCAAGTACAACATCAAGGAATAGAAACACTGGAATGACTGTGGTGACATTCAATGACTTCAACCAATTACCGTTATTTGTGGTCACGTGGTTGGTTCAAATAAAGCATTTATGCAAGCAAAAGTTTTAAAGCAAGTATTATCTTTTGGGATTATTGTCACCAATGTAAGAATGCGTATGTAGCATTGTAATGCTGTTGTAGTAGTAGTGTGATCTCTGCAGCACATCATGTTTATAAGATGGCCATGTTATTTACACTAAAATTCTGAATCTACACAGTAACAACTGTAAAACACAGTGGCAGCTTGTGGATTTTTTTTTTGGTAAGGCCAGCCAATCAGTTTCAGTAAACATCCCAGTATGATTCAATGCAAAAAAAGGGTATCAAACATGCATTATTACTTTGCAGTTATATATTTATTCCAAAAGTTTAACATAATACATCTTATTCAAACAATCCAGTATATCAATGAATCTTCAATTCAGAATATGATATAACTACCATATCGTAACTATTATAAATATCCAAAATAAATATATTATATTAAAGGATTAATATATTACAATATACATTTATATAAAATATATATACCGGTCGGCACCAGTATTTTGTGTCTTATTTTAATACATTTATTTCTATCAAGATAAATATTGACGCCTTTTTGCCCATCTCTAATTATGATAATATAATACGGTGCTAAATATAGATATATAGTAGGGTGATCTTTTTTGTGAAATTTAGTCCAGCGCTTCTTGTCCATATATTGAAGCAATAGTGATAACAAATAAAAATCTCTAAATAGTACATTCTTTATATGGCCACATATTAACATAAGACAATCAAGACACTTTTCAGTCCTCCTCATATATTAAAAGAATAATAATAATAAATACAAAATTCTAAATAATAAATTCTTTATATGGCCACATATTAAAATAAGAAAATTAAGACACTTTTCAGTCCTCCTTATGTGGTTGGGCATATTTCTCTGAAGACTGAATCTTTCCCAAGAGTCGGCGATTACCTATCAAATACTTATGAAAGTCCTTGCAGGTCATGTGTTTTTTGTACTGGGTGTAACAATGCAACTAGTGGAGGCGGCAAGGTGCTCAGTGTTGCCAGAGTGGAAATGGTGAAGTATCGTACCAAAGGCACAGAATGGTCGTATTTGGAGGATAATTATCGTGTCATCTGGCAACGTTGAGATCGGTCGACCAATGACTGTTCTCTCTACAGTCAGAGCTCGCGCAAGAAGGTGGGACGTAAGGGAGACACCATTTACAACACTTGTAAGGGCGTAATAACTAGTTTGTGAAAGAACCAGAGAAACACAAATATCCGACGAAAAAAAATCCCGGACGTTTTTAGAATCCCTGCCGGACGCATTTTTTAGGTCTCAAAAAGAGGAGGTCCTGTCACCCTATATATCGTCTTGTAAGTACAATGATAATGCATTATAGACCTCTAATGTGTTAAATCGTCATGACCTGTGAATCTGTAACGTTTCATTCATGTCTCACAAAGTGATCACTTCTGTTTCTTCCGAAACTTCTTCTTCATCTTTGAGTTTTTCGTAAAGTGAACGACAGACCTTGTTTAAATTTAAACATTCTTCAATAAACGGCTTCTACCGCTTTTGGTTCAACCTTAATCGGCACTAGCTCGTTAGCAGCTAAATGACCATCGATCACACTCATATTTGAGTTATTGGACATGAAGCTAGCCGGTTAGCTTAAATTAAGGTGAAACGGAAAGTCTGGATCTGTTTTTCAAATTTGTGTTTTATGTGTGAACAACAAGGTATTTTACCAACACAAACAATTTTCACTTTTATATTCAGTATACATGGTCCATGAATACAAATACAGGGTGCACACACACATTTACTCTCAATGCTTATTTGCATATTGTAGAACGCTTCACTGTGACCTCAGGGTAGAACGTTTCACCGGGTTCCGTGTTCTAGCTTCCTTGTTCCAGGTTCCATTCCCCACAGCATAAGAACACACTGTGTGTCAAATTCAGTCAGTTAATTTCAAGCCAGAGGACTTCACACACTGAAGTGGAGCAGCAGAAAACGCCCAAATTGATCACCAAAAGTAAGATCAATACTCCTTTTGTTTCACATTCTCATGATGGTCCTAATGTTTCTTTTCTGTCTCTCTCCAGCCTGCAAGGACTTTATCCCGATGTGTTTGAGAGTCGACGCCGACGACCGTCCCACGCTGGAGCAGCTCGAGATCCACCCATAGCTCAGATAAGTCAACGGCGCACACACACGTTCTCACGCAAACGCTCTCACACAGACGGTCTCACGCAGACACACACACGTAGTTGGCATCACGTAGTCGCGCACACATAGACGCCATCGCGTAGACACGCATGCATAGACGCCATCGCGTAGACACGCATGCGTAGACGCCATCGTGTAGACCCCCTCACGTAGACACGCACACGTATACTATGGCGGCAAATCACTGTCAAAATTCGAGAGCGCAAATCAGCTTGATGCGCTCGCGTAAATCATACATCCGCGAGCAAAACTTCCGTCTCGCGAAAGATATTTGCTCGCTCGCGGAACGTGAACTTCCTTGCGAGGCTAGTCTCTGCTTGCGCTCGAAGGTGTTTTCTACGCGCTCGCTGTTGTTCTTTTTGACAGTAAGGGGGCGGTACGGTGGCCCTGAAGTACAAAACACAACGGCAAATAGGAAAACACAATGAAATGAACTCCTTACGGAAAGGGTAGGGGCTTAAGGCTGGCGCATGCTTCTGCATCTGCGTCGTTGTGTCGACGCACTCGTTTCAATTCATGGTTCTAAAAAGTCTTGCGTGTGTTGCAGAGCAATTCACCGCCAGAACAACATGCGGAGTAACGTGTTTTGTTGAAGACGACCTAGAGAGTCACGTCTTTGTGTGTGGAATTATTTATCATAGACTTTATTGCCCCGTGCATCGCCACTGCTGCTTTTCGTCACGGAAACATTTGTCCCGTATTTTCCTCCACAACTTTGTGCACCTCTCGACCGGCAAACCGGCGTTTGCAGCGATCTCCCTCCGTGAATCCAACCCGCTTCTACAACCCGCCAATGACGGCTTGTATAAGCGCTCATATTCACGCATTTCTTCCGACAAAAGTTCTTCAATCTGATCCGTTCTCTCGTAAACACTCTTCGTTTTAATAATGGCGGTATCGGGCTATGAAAGCGGAAATGTGAGTCTCCGTAACAGACGTAGTTAGCGGACCAATCGCAGCCTTGTGCGCTGCGGGAGGCTTGCCCCCCCCGCCCCTTTTATTTACTTTTATTTACAACACCTAAATATAATTGAACAACAAAACACCTTTAAAACAACGGTGAAACACTAGTAGGACTAGTAGATGGCGATGTTTTACACTCGTAAAACATCAACATCTCTCCATGACTTTCTGCTGCGGCTCTCCTGCTGCACTCACTTCCCCCCCTCATCACAGGCTCTCAGTCCCGCCACTGATTTACTGATTGACATAATATCTAGAAAGCGGCATTTCTCAGATTTCAAAATCCGATTGTGCAAATAGTTAAAGGAGTCACGGTAATTTGAATCCTCCATGTCACTTTCCGTCGCCGGCGAAAGGCTTCAGATTAAGAGTGTTAAAAGACAGACACAGTCCGTCTGTCCAATCAGAAGGGCCCGTCCTCTGCATCCTGCTATAAGGCTGGACATTCTAGTCAAAGGTGCGCTCACATTTCGTCACGCGGTGAGACGCCGTAAGAGAGGAAAACGGGCCGGCTCGTTGGTGAGACTCCGCAAGCGTGGTTCTCGCACACCGCTGCCAGGCATCTTTCTCTCCAACATGCACTCACTGTGCAACAAACTGGACAAAATTCAGCTGCTGGTGAGGAGAGACGAAGACTTCTCTACATCCTCCGTTCTGTCCTTCACGGAGACATGGCTCTGCGGACCGATACCGGACTCCGCGCTCCAGCTGGCGGGTTTCTATGGCGTTATATTTGTGCCGCAATCCTGAGCGCGTAATTTTAAGTTTTGAGCACAGAGAACTATATTTTAGCAAAGAAAAACATATTCCGTGCGCGCAGTTTACTCAGGTGCCCTCTCCACAAACTGGTTTTCTGCGCGCAGACAGCCGTTGCTGCGCTCTCTCCACCTCTTCACTCTGCGCTCGCTCGACGTTTCACTCACGCGCTCGCTCGACTTGCAGCAGCGTTACATTTGTGCCACAAAACCAACCAATCAGAGAATTAAAGAAGGTCAATTGTGATTGGCTGTTGCTCTCCAATCACAACGCTTCCTAAAGAAGACGAAAAAAAGTGATATTAGAAGTCCGGCTAGCCACCATCAGACATGAGCGAAGCAAATGATGAGAACAGCAAGTGTTTTAATCCAGGCCATTAGCATTTAGCACAAATGCTGCAAACTTCAACAACTCGCTGAGCTTCCGCGATGCTGTAGGTAGTTCTACTAGCGTTGTGATCGGAGACCAACAGCCAATCACAATTGATCTTCTTTAATTCTCTGATTGGTTGGTTTTGTGGCACAAATGTAACGCTGCTGCAAGTCGAGCGAGCGTGTGAGTGAAACGTCGAGCGAGCGCAGAGTGAAGAGGTGGAGAGAGCGCAGCAACGGCTGTCTGCGCGCAGAAAACCAGTTTGTGGAGAGGGCACCTGAGTAAACTGCGGGCACGGAATGTTTTTCTTTGCTAAAACATCTCTCTGTGCTCAAAACCTAAAATTACGCGCTCAGGATTGTGGCACAAATATAACGCCATAGGTTTCCAGCTGCTCAGA